TAAGATTGACGAAAACGCCGAATCGCAACAGTCACATCCCACAGAGTGAAAGTTATAGTTTCTAGAACTGCCCCAGTCAATGACTGGATGGTCGGAAGCGGAGTGGTCGAGTCTTCAATAAACGTTTTGGACAGGAAATCAATGAAGCTATCCGCGGTTAACTGGGCATCAACTATAGGATTTCCGAGATAGTCTCGAAGGATGGGATACTGCGTCTTTCTCTGGGTTCGTATTTTTCTAGAGAAAAGTTTCGAGACACTTAACGAATGGTTTTCGGTAAAGTGGACCTCTTCGGCTAGCTGTTTTTCTTCAGACAATCTCTTAGCTCGATCAAAAATATCACGAATCAAGGGCAGAACAGAAACATCGTTCTGCAGATGGAAACGACGATAAAGCCTGCGCAATCTGCGACGAAAGGGTAAAGGTAGGAAAATCTCATCCCCAACATTAATAATTTTCTTACGGGGGACAAAACGAGAAATAAGCGGACCCAAAATTTCGTACAGTTTTGCAGTGCAAACATTTACATCCGGACTAAGAAAGAACTCAGTCCAGTCGTAGGAATTAAGGTGTGTTAATAATTCGGTTGAGCGAGTTGATCGGAAATCGCGGAAAAAGTTATACTTTTGGGACGACATTTCGTCAGCCTCGAATTCCAAAGTTGAAACAACTATGTCATGGTCTGAGCCCCCGAGTGGGCCTAGGGATGACACTGACGATGGCAAGCAGCCTCTACAGAAAATTAAGTCAAGTATACTTGAGCCTTGGGTGGGAAAATCAACAACCTGAGTCCACATCCCGACATCCACAGCCTCAAGAAAGTCATCGAACCTTCTGGGGCCTGAAGGCGGAGACCAGCGGACTTCAGGGAGATTAAAGTCACCCGCAACCAGTTGATACTTAAAACTTAAGTCGGCCGCAGCATGAAATGCCTGTGAGAGTAAGCGATCAAAATTGTCATTGGCGTTGGGAGGGCGATAGACGCAGCCAACGAGTCAGGAGAACTTATTTTTTAGAGCAACCTGGAGCCAGCAGCTGCCTTCTACCGCTGAAAAGTGCGGGAAGTCCAACGGCAAACATGTAAGTGTTTGCTTAACGTAGACGCAGCTGCCCCCACCACGGCTATCTTGGCGATCATTTCGAATGCAATTGTAGCCTAGAAGAGAGAGTTCGGAGTCAGCTACTGAGGCTGATGCCCACGCCTCAGTTACTAAAACAATATCAGGACAATGGACGAAAACCTGAGTCTGAAGCAAAGGCATCTTATTAAGCAAGGATCTGGCATTTAAAACAAAAAGTTTGAAGGGAAAGGCTGTTAGTTTTTGAGGGAGGTGGGCTACATCGTCCAGTTCTGGGTCGCCCACGGAGCAAACGGTCCGGATGCAACCATCCGGTTCTGCAAAAAATTTTGTGGCATCAAAAAATCCTGACGTGGATAAAAAGGGGTAGGACTTGGGGGAGGGAATGACGGGCAGGTAAACTGGTAACTATTGTTAGCTAACTTATTTTCAGCTGGAAATCCGCGGGGCAGATACTGCAACGTATTCCCGCCGGGACGAAACTGAGGATCGGATGAATTAACTGTTTCAGTATGGACATTATCATGAGGAATAAATTGGTAAAACGGCCGTGGAGGAAACAAGTTAGGGGGTGGGGGACGCATTGTTTCCATTGGAACAAGAGGTCTATTAAACGGTGGGAAAATCGGCATATTCGGCCTAACTGCCT